TGAACATGTAAAGGCTTTAACTTACGTTTTAAATACAAAAGCAAACGAAGCTGTTTATGTAATACACAAGATAACGTTGCTACGACGCTCTCACTCACACGACGCCACTCCATGTTATGGCAGGCAAGCCGTTTTAGCTTGAATTGTACCCAGCCTTACTCGTCATTATTGCATTTTTACCAGTAAGAATTCAATTAGAGAGCTTTACAATTTAATTCCTACTAGTAGCAATTACAATTATAGAGCTCTCTGATTAAATTCGTACTAATAACAATTACGATTAGAGAGCTCTTTAATTCGATTTTTACTAGTAAGAATATAATTGCAGAGCTCTTTAATTGAATTCCAGAGCTCTGCAATTGCATTCTTACTAGTAAGAATTACATTAGAGAGCTCTCTAAATCAGTTTTTTTACTAGTAAGAATTACATTAAGAGAGCTCTTTAATGCAATTATTACTAGTAAAAACTGATTTAGAGAGCTCTACAATTCAATTCTTACTAGTATTGAATTGAAAACTTTTAATATGAAACAAGCGCTCACCTTTCAAATTTGGTCAATTTAAAAAAGAAATTCAAACTATAAATATATCTTTGTGGCTTTATAATGTGTCTGACAGATCGCTTAGATAATCAGTTAAAGCCGACCATCTCTTCTTTCTAGTTCATGTACGTTATAGCATCAAATAAACATGAATGAACAGCTGAATGTATGTTGTTTTAACCGCGGAAAGACGTCAGTAACGTTACACTCCGTTTCTCAAGCTGAAATCCTCCAACGTTAATATAATTCTCCTGTCTGCTGTGTCGGACAAAATGGCGGATTATGATTGGTCAGGTCACCTGTCAATCAAACTCCCTGCAAAGGGTCAATTACGTATGATTCATGTTTCAGCCTTTCATAATAGAGGGAATGCGCATGACGTCACCGTCGGCCGGCGTGCCTGCAGTTCCTCACAGTGAGTGGCAAAAAGACTGAGCGGCTGTATATGTGTTCAGCGTGAATACCGCAAAAAACAAACACAACACACACAAATAAAGTGGGAAAGAGCTTTGCGATTGACTGTAGGCCTACAACTAGATTTGACAAAACATCGGAGGTATATTTTTACAGACTGCTATAGAAAGAGGAGCAAATGGATCGTAGCAATTCACAGAAACGACTGGACTCCAGTCAGCCAAAGGTGGATTTGCAGTTATCATTTTGTGTCAATATGCTGAATTTAGCTGTAAAACCATACCCCGTATATTTTGTATTGTTATATACATTAACAGCTCATCAATTAAATATTTATCATTGCATATTCTGCATTATTGGATGTTTTTTTAATAAACACTGACCAAAAAACATATAAAGTTTTAGAGCTGGACGATATGATATATATAGGATATAACACTGATATAAGTGATCACCCGGATTTAGACCTACCTATATTGTATTTATATAAAGCGTTCACAGGCAAATTTGCTTTATGTTTAGGTCTTGCTTTTATTTCCCTGGTGTCGAAATCAGGCAGTAAATGTCAGGCAACACGATTCCTGGCTGCATGTCAATATCCATGGATCGTTGGATCTTTAGTAAGTTGTAAGGAACACTATATTGAGTCTAACATTTAGTTTAAATTGATAAAATTGTTCGATTTAGTCGCATTTCCGCAGTTTTTCCCTATTGAATCCAGTCACGCAGCAGATCTTTTGCCACTCGGTCAGGCTGAGGGGGGTTGTCACGCGGGAAAGTCACGTGTCAAATGCATTCCCTCTATAGATTGCTGTCAGATTCAGCTTCTCTCTCTCTCTCTCTCTCTCTCTCTCTCTCTCTCTCTCTCGCTCTCTCGCTCTCTCTCTCTCTCTCTCTCTCTCGCTCTCTCTCACACACACACAAACTGTTTTATTTACAATATATTTACATGTAAATGTATGTTTTTGCTCTACATCATTACACAATTTAAGATTAACATTACTTTCGTTGGCTGCACATATTGTCCACCCAATTTTTTTCTTTACATAATTTATGCAATATAATCTACTTATGATGTTTGTATTTGTAACATATTGCTGTAATCATTTCTATTGACTGTATAAAGTTCATCATCAGTACATTCTATTTCTCACTATTCTATTCTAGACATAAATGATTATAGGCATTATATGATCTTAGGCATAGCAAACTGATTGGTCAGTGATGATTTCTCTTTAGATTGAATAAATATCTACATTGACTAAGATATTCAGTGATGCTTTTTTTCTTCTTCCTTTTTCACTTTAGAAAACGGTCATTGCCTCTGCTAGGTAAGTATCCTTTTTGATTCACGCTTTCCAAATTCTCACACACCTATGTAATATATAAGATGGTGATTATTTTTTTCATCCTTTTTGTTTTTTCTTAACAGCATAAAAGAAACCCAAAGGCTCTTTTAAGAGCCATCTGCCCTTCTGCAATCACAGGTACTTGTTGCTGTCACTCTTAAAGTTACTTTTGATCCAGATGCCCTGCTCATCCAGCCAGATGAGGCAAGCATCACATTCTGCTGGTTTCATGCAGTTTCTTTATTATTTTATTTTAATATGGATCAAATTTTTAATTTTTTGCAAACAAACTATAACTAAATTTCCCAGAATTATTGGTTGAGTATTTCTAGAATTGAGATTATCATGAATTTATGAATATATATTCAAATAAATGTTTATAAAGTATGTTTATTTAATTAATTTTGTATAGTGTTTTTTTAAACATTGTTATGATTATCTCTTTATGGAAATTGATCTCTATGGAATTTGGTTTATGGAATATGGTTTTTAATGCCTTTTTTGTTGCAGTGCTGGTCATCTCTGGTGATGCTCGCCATGTAAGTACTACTGTAATGCTTTTTGCACTGCATATATTTACCACTAAATGTTAATGCAATATAATTATCAATGCGTATGACGACTCATCTAAGAAAATGTTTTTAAAACAGACTAAAAAACTACATCCCATATTTAATTTATCCCACAAAATTTAATTGCAAAGTGATCCATTCATTCTCAAATGATCAAGAGTGCTTGTTTTAACAGACGCATCGTTCTTATACAGATCCAAGATGAAAACGGCATCGTGTTCGTCACTATTTTGTTTCCTTAGCACATTAACAAAACAATTAATGACACTAATAACACTTATGCTACTAAATAAAAGTAATATCACTAAAATGACACAGGCCTAATAACAGTCTTTAGTTTACGAACACAGCAAAACTCTGCCATCTTTAAAAATCAAAAGTAGCTTCAAATACTTGTTAAACAAGAAATATTCTTCTTCCTTTTTTCCCCACTGTCATTAATGTAGAAATATTAAGCCAGTAAATTAAGACATTCGCTATATCATTATATCCATCATCATCTCTGAGAGAATTCAGCGACAGATGCCGAAAGGTCAGTCCGTTTTTTTACTTTCACTTTCAGAGAATGAGCGCGGTTACATGCACGTTCTTAACCCGATTTTGCTGAATAAACTGACAATGCATGTGGTCATGTAAACGCACTAACCCGTTTTCCTTTATCGGAGTCAAGTCGTAAGTTTGTATAAACCGATCGACTCAGCTAGATTTTTGCCCCTTACTCTGATTTCTCCTGCCGTTTAAAACACATTAACTCGCGTTCTTTGGGCTTATTGAAGTGCGCATATGTGAAGTCCCAGGTGAAAAGGAAATATATTTAAATTGTACTTATTTTGATATGCTTAATGTATTTTAAATGTACCGTATTAAATATGTATTAAATGTGCTAAATTGAAACAACTTCAAGTATATTAAGTGTATTTTAATATGTATTTAAGTTCAATTTTAAGGTAATAGTAATATATTTTATTATACTAAAATGTGCTAAAATGGAACCATTTTAAGTACATTTAATGTAATATAATAGCACTTATTTAAAGTGTATTTTAATACACTTTAAATCGACTTTAGAAATACAGCATTAGTATATTTTTAGCTTCACATTAATGCGTTCTAAGTATATTTTAAATATAATTTCAGCTTATTAATAATGTATTAGTAGAACACTGTAGGACCCACTATTAACATATTAAAAATATATTTTTTCCAAAAACCATTTAATATAAAAATAATATATTTTAATGTATTAAAAATACAGTTAAACATTTTAATTCAACAAAACAAATATTTCTACAAAACACACAAACACTCTTTGAAAGATAAACTTTAATGCACTACATCAGTAAAGCATTATGAAAACTAAACAAAATACATTAACATAAAATGCATTGATTTGCAGAGGTATTAAACAGAACAATAAATAAATAAACTAACTGAAAGGGGTAGTTCACTTTAAAAAAAAAAACTTTTGCTGATAATTTACTCACCCCCATGTCTTCCAAGATGTCCATGTCTTTCTTTCTTCAGTCGAAAAGGAATTAAGGTTTTTGATGAAAACATTCCAGGATTTTTCTCCATATAATGGACTTCACTGGGAACAAAACGGTTCAAGGTCCAATGGCTAACAGTCAATTTGTCGTGAAAGCATGAGAATTGGCTCAATTGCGAGAGTCTCGTGCTGAATGCTTGAGAGTTGGCAGCCCTGACAAATCTTTTTTCGAGTCAATTCATTCATTTCGTTCGTTGAATGAACCTAATGACTCGGAAAAAGATTTGTTAATTTTGATGAACGAGTTTGAATAGGAGAGTCATGAACATGCATAACAGAACAGAGCAAGGCGACCATTTGAGCTTATAAAACTTAAACGTTGTTTTTTTTTTTTTTAAATAACCGATCGTTATGCTTGATAAGACCCTTATTCATCGTCTGGTGTCGTTTAAAGCCCTTTGAACAGTTTGCACAGAAACTGTCTTTTGGACCTTGAACCGTTTGGTTCCCAATGAAGTCCATTATATGGAGAAAATCCTGGAATGTCTTCATCAAAAACCTTAATTTCTTTTCAACTGAAGAAAGAATGACATGGATATCTTGGCATGGGGGTGAGTAAATTATCAGCAAAAGTTTGTTTTTTTTAAGTGAACTAATCCTTTAAGTCAAACAAAGTGAAATGCAATAGCAAAAAGTAAAGTGGCCAAGTCGTGAGTAAAAAGAGAAGTTCGTGACTTGTTCAGTCTGCCATAGACTCTTTTGGGGACATCAGAACCACCGAGGGAAATCTGGAAAGAATAAATAAAACAAGCATTAGTATAAACTTGTTCATTTATAATTCTAATAAAAAGCTGTCACTTTGTTACTTAATTCAGAACACTTAATGCACAAAAAGTCAGATATAATTATTATAACAAATAGGATTTTTCTTTATCATAAAGAATTTTCTTACCATGTCTGAGGTTTCAGGAAGACACAGCTCAGATGATCTTGGGCTTGAGCTGAATGAACCTTGTTTCATGGACTCCAGGGCCTCTTTGAGAGATGCTAATATCCCTGGAAGCTCTACAAGAAAAAATAAAGTTGCATGTTATACAAAGTTAGGGCAGAACAAACACTAGTTTGTGTTCTTCATATATAATTTGTATTTTGTTTAAATGATTTAACGAACCATTACTGTAACTTCCACGCTATTGTTAAAGTAATTATTCATTATTAATAAAGACAGAACATTCTATTGAAAGTTACAAGTTGGTGACAGCTGATAACGACTTGATTAAATGTAAAAAGCTGAATACCACACATAAAATCATATAAATCAGTCCCTCGAGAAAAACACGATTATGCGATTGCTTAATTCAATGCATAATCAGGCAAAATACATATTCATGCGGGGGACGCAATTTTTCAAATACGTGTTAAAGGGTTAGTTCACCCAAAAATGAAAATTCTGTCAGTATTTACTCACCCTCATGTTGTTCCAACCCCGTAAGACCTTCGTTCATCTTCGGAACACAAATTAAGATATTTAAGATATTAAGATCGCTCCTGCATACAGTCCATAGGCTTCTTGAGGGAATGACTCTTGCTGTCCCCGAAAAGTCATTAAAGACATCGTTAAAATAGTCCAAGTGACTACAGTGGCTCAATCTTAAGTTTATCAAACGACGAGAACACTTTTGTGCGCAAAAAAACAACAAAAATAACGACTTTATTTCAACTATTCGTTTATTTCTCCCTCTGCGCGAGTCAGGTTACTAGTTTAATAGCGTAAGCTTCTGTTATTGTACGTCACACGCATCACACACACATGACCAGCGTCGGCCAATAGTGAGCCTACGTGTGACGTAGCTCTACGCAATCACACTACGTTAACGGACTATAGGCTTATGGAGAAGGAAGTGAATAGTTGAAATAAAGTCGTTATTTTTGTTGTTTTTTTGCGCACAAAAGTGTGCTCGTCGTTTGATAAACTTAAGATTGAGCCCCTGTAGTCACTTGGACTATTTTAACGATGTCTTCAATTACTTTTCGAGGACAGCAAGAGCCAGTCCCTCAAGAAGCCTATGGACTGTATGCAGGAGCGATCTTAATATCTTAAATATCTTAATTTGTGTTCCGAAGATGAACGAAGGTCTTACGGGGTTGGAACAACATGAGGGTGAGTAAATACTGACAGAATTTTCATTTTTGGGTGAACTAACCCTTTAATATATAATAGGTCACTTAACTAGCTGCTACATGACACACTATATTGACTGTTTTTGTTGTTTTTCACCAACAAAAAGTTACAAATCAAGAGGATCAACTACTACTTACTCCTCATCTACTCACAGGTTTAATAAAAAAATCTCTTTGCAATGTGCAAATTCCTTGGCTAGGCTAAATATTAAATATAAAATCTCTCATTTCATTATTTAACATCGTTTTAATTTCTCAGTGCAAGATATTTAATAATTGGTTTTGTGAAAGCTTATAGTTGGTGATTACAACTTAAATTATTTATCGAATTGACATGAAAACTGACAGCCTACTAATAATTAATTAGATTTTACTATGAATTAAATATCACAAATGTGTAAGTTTTATTAGAGCTTAAAATATATTATAATATTTAAAACACAAGACGTTACCAGCCTGTTGTGTAATCACCTAAATAACCTTTTTTTCTGAAAACACAGTGTGCAATGTTTTTATAGTTGTATTATGTCACTGTCTAGATCTATAACAATTAAGTTGATAGACGTCAATGGATTAACTCGCTTTAGTGTCAAATCAACAGAAACGCCAGTAATCCACAGAACATCGTCATCAACTTCTGAAAATATTTTCTAAACTCAAAGTGAGAATAAAGCCAATTACACTAATCACTTAAACTAATAAACTTACCACCAAGAAGTAAGATCTTTTCTGGCAGTATCTTGCTCTGTCCATGTCGTGGCGGCGCACCTCTGCGTTGTCCTCTTCACTGCTAAATTGTTCGCGGGAGCTGACGACCTGGTAATCTGCTCGTGTGTTCTCTCAATATTAGATCGGTGCTATCCACATTCACTAGGTCCGAGTCAGTGAAATAACAGAGCAAAATTTGGAAAATACATGATTTCTGTTGAAATATCTGAAGCTATAACGGAATACCACAGACAGTCAGTATCCGCTGTCCGCGCCCCGCCCAACATGTAAGTTCAAATAGCAGTGTGTGATTGGACAATTGCCGGCAAGCTTGTTTTGAAAAGATTGGCTCTGATTGGTCCAAATGAATGCAGCTGGAAATACTAACTAACCGCCACAAAAAAGAAACAACTCTGTTAATATAAACATAACATGCTTTATAAACAGGTTTTTTATTCATTTTGGCTAAACAAATGTAAGAGTCAAGCTTTAACAAATTTATTTTGTTTTTCTAGTATGTACACCTGATCTTTTATGTTGATGTGTGCAAGTACTGGTATTCAGTTTTGTGGAAAAGACTATTTGATTAATTAATGCAGAAGTATAGAAGTGCATTACTTGTAATTTTTAAACTTTATATATATATATATATATATATATATATATATATATATATATTATATATATATGTCTCATTTTTTTTCACAATATTTTTTTAAAGCAGGGCTGAAGCACATGCTACAGTATAACATAAATATTAAAAATATATTGCTCTAGTCCTATACAAGGTTAAATAAGTTATAAGGTTACAAATTGCTATACACACAAAGTAAACACAAAAATTACTTTAATTTAGCAACAAGTATGCTTTCTGTAAATACACAAAAATTTTACTAAAACTATGTTTGTTTTTAGCATATTTCTAAAAGTGTAATTAAGTGTATATTTATTAGCATTGCGTTTCTAGTAAAACATTTTTAAATACAATTAAAATATGTTTGTATTTAGCATATTTCTTAAAAATGTAATTAAATACCAATGTACTTCTAGTACACTTTTTAGAAACATATTTAAAGCATGATTGTCATTAGCATATTTATTAAAAATATAATTAAGCATACATTTATTACCAATGTAATAATAATATACTTTTTTAGAAATACATTAAAAGTATGCTTTTCTATAGCATATTTCTTAAAAGTGTATTTAAACATATATTTATTACCAATGTAATTCTAATATACTTTTTAGAAATACATTTAAAGTATAATTATCATTAGCATATTTATTAAAAATATAATAAAGCATACATTTATTACCAATATATTACTAATATACTTTTTATAAATACATTAAAAGTATGCTTTTCTATAGTATATTTCTTAAAAGTGTAATTAAATATATATTTATTACCAATGTACTTCTAGTATACTTTTTAGAAATATACTAAAATGCAATAAAATAAATTTTTAGTACACTTTAAATAAGCATGTTGTAAATACAAATGTATTATAAACACACTATTTGTATTTCAAATATATTTTTAATACATTTAATACAACGTCTTTTTCACCTGGGAGGGCCTAACCCAACTAAAGAGAAGCTCGGAGGCTGTCGAAAGTCGACCAAAAAACAGCAGGTCAATTTATAAATATGTATGGTGATAAGCACTAATGGCAATAGTACGTATCAAGATGTTACATTTATATGTTACTGTAAATAAACTGATGATGCTCATGTACAAAACGTGTGTGCAGACGCAGAGTCTGTGTGGAGGATGCCTCCTCCGGTTCCACCTTCACTATTGATGCAGGAGACAGTCAACAACATGCTGTTGAAAGTGGTGAGTGGAACGCATTTTTTACACAACTACTACCGTAAATGTATTTACTGTATTGTTTTCGGTTTAACTTTTGCGAAAAGTAACTCAGTAGTGTAACTCAGTAAAAAACAAGAACAGTAATATGTAATAATTTTTTTATATATATATATAGCTGTAATGAGTAATACAGAATACAGAATATTACACTGTTAAAGTAACTTGTTCAACACTGCAAACCAAACAATGGAACAAAATAAGAATCACTGGCACATAATATAGTAGGTAAAGAAGAATGCATCAAGCTTGCACTTCATTTGTTCCCATTTTGCAACATCAAAGTGTATTCTCTCTAAGTGGTAGTCTTCTTCACATTTAACACAGAAATCACACCAGGACATACCTGAGAGACCAAGCTGCCCCATTATTTGATGATGATGGGCATGACACTCTTTTAATTTATAGCTGCCATCAGCCTGCTTGCTAAGGTAGGGACACTCTGTGAAGCTATTCTTGGAAGGGCACTTAATTTCTAAAAGCCCGTAGTTTGGGCTTTCACTCCCTCTCTCTATAACCTTACGGTCAGGTGACGTACCAAGGTGTGGGGCATTGGGATTTACAACAAAACCACATGGATACACTTGATGACCTGTGAGCTTGGTGTAATGTACCGCTGCTATAGGCTCTTGTTCTATGCCTCTTTTCATGGCCTTAGTTTGAACTGATCCTGCACTCTTTAAACTTTTGGCTAGTTTTTCATGGTCAGCTCTCCTAGAACAGATTCGCTTAAAAGAAGTTGATGTGAGTCGCCCAGACCTTGCGTTAAACCATAATTTGTTTGTGCTCTGTTCTCTGGTCTCCTGTTCCAGAGCTATAGAATCAGACAAAGAAATGCTCAATTCTGTGTAACGATGCATGGCACTTTCATTCAGCACTGTGCAGAAGCTGGTAGGTTGGGATGGCAGGGGAAAGTTGGGCAGGTCATGTGGTTGTCTAACTGTAGCTGCTCCAGGGTCAACACAAGGCTCTCCAATTTGATTAACCAGTGGCAGCTGTAAAAGGTGAGAACAATAGATTATAATCATTAATGTGCAAACATATTTTTCTGTACAGAGGTTCCTGAGCACCCCCCACTTCCTGAATGCCAGCTGGAAAGGGAGCCTGAGGAAGAGCAGTCCTGTCAGAGCACTGAGAAGGAATTGGAAGCAGAAAACAACAAAATTAAATTGCAATTGCCTTTACAAGAAACTGAATTAAAAAGTCTTAAAGCACAAATTGGCACATTTAAAAATAAAAAACTAACACCTGAACTTCTTCAAAGCAGTGAAATCCACAAGATGTTGGAATACAGTACAGGGTTTACATATGAACGATTCAATCAACCAATCAAATAAATGTACCCCTAAACTACAAGCACAATGATTGGCAAATAGCAGAGATGCCCCTCCGTACCCAGTTGCTGTTTGTTTTAATGAAACTCCGCAACAACGAAGACTTGAAAAGCCTGGCCTTCAGATTTAATATAAACA